GGAAGAGTGAGACATGTCTCTACGACAAATAGAAAATAGCCGGTGTTGTGGCACACGCCTGTAGTCCTAGCTACTCAGGAGGCTTAGAAAAATAGCTTAGTGTTATGGCTCACGCCTGTAATCCCAGCTACTCAGGAGGCTTAGGCAAGAGAATCACTTGAGCCCAAGAGCTGGAGTTTGCTGTGAGCTGTGACTCCAGGGCACTCTACCCAGGGCAACAGAGTGAGACTCTAACAAAAAAAAATGTTTAGCCTCCATCTTCAGAGGGCCATTTGATATGTCATCTCTTAGTAGACAGTGTTTATCCTCTTCCTTACCCAGCTGGTGATGTTAAATAACATATTGCTTCCATCTAATAGTCAAAGTCTTGTTAATATATACTATTAGATGGTAAGACAGGAATTTTTTTTTTTTTTGAGACAGTCTCAAACTGTTACCTGGAGTAGAGTGCTATGGCATCACAGCTCACAGCAACCTCCAACTGGGGCTCAAGTGATCCTCTTGCCTCAGTTTTTCTATTTTTAATAGAGACAGGGTCTTGCTTTTGCTTAGGCTGGTCTCAAACTTGGGAGCTCAAGCAATCCATCCACCTCAGCCTCCCAGAGTGCTAGGATCACAGGCATGAGCCACTGCGCTCAGCCTGAGACCTAAATGTGAGAACATTTTTTTAAAGAATTGAATAGCTGGGCACAGTGGTTCATGCCTGTAATCCTAGCACTCCAGGAGGCCAAGGTGGGTGGATTGTTTGAGCTCAGGCGTTTGAGACCAGCCTGAGCAAGAGCGAGACCCCATCTCTAAAAAAGTAGCTGGGCATTGTGGTGGTGCTCCTAGTCCCAGCTACTTGGGAAGTTGAGGCAGAAGGCTCACTTGAGCCCAGGAGTTTGAGGTTTCTGTGAGCTATGATGCCACTGTACTCTACACAAGGAGACAAAGTGAGGCTCTGTCTTAAAAAAGAGAAAATAGAATAGCTGCCAGATGCAGTGGCATGCACTATAATCCTAGCTACTAGAAAGGCTGAAGAGGATGGCTTGAGTTTAAGAATTCAAGACCAGCTTGGGCAACATCTTGAGACCCATCTCTTTTACAGAAAAGGAATAGAGACAGTGATAATCATTTAAATGATACTCTTATAGACCCTACTTATCTTATAGGAAGACATGTTGCACACAGGGTAACTAATTGAATGAGATTCAAGTTCAGGAGTTTGACATTGTAGGCCCAGTGAAGTCAGCTTCTCTAGCTCCTCTAGTAGAAACAACATGGACTCTGAAACCTAAAGATCTGGATTCTTCCCACTCACTCACTAGTCATGATATTGGACAAATCACCTAAAATCTCTGAACCTGACTTGTCAGTCATAAAATGGGGACAATAAATAGATATCGGCTTGGCGCCTATGGTTCAAGTGGCTAAGGTGCCAGCCACATACACCTCAGGTGGCGTGTTCGAATCCAGCTTGGGCCCGCCAAACAATGATGGCTGCAACCAAAAAATAGCCGGGTGTTGTGGCGGGTGCCTGTGGTCCTAGCTACTTGGGAGGCTGAGGCAGGAGACTCGCTTGAGCCCAGGAGTTGGAGATTGCTATGAGCTGAGATGCCATGGTACTCTACCCAGGGGGACAGCTTGAGGCTCTGTCTCAAAAAATAAATAAATAAATAAATAGATATCCTCTCTTGGTCAGAGGACTGGAGTGTTTGAAGAGCAAATGCTCTCATTATGACAAATAAAATATCAATTGCTTTATATAATCCATCAAAAACACCATAAGGACCAGAATCAGTAATCTGTAGGTTAATCTAAAAATAGTCAAGTACAGGGTAGGAACACAAAACAACAAAAAAAACTCCCATAGTTTGAACATGTTTATTTTAACCCCCCAATACAAATATATACCTATTCATTTTTGATGTGGGGTCAAGGCTTTTTCCTTAAGTATGACTTGAGTGGAGTGCCATTCCATTTTTCTGCATAAATCAAACCCCAAATGTATTTCCTCTGACTTCCAGTTTAGGTTTCTTTACAGTATGAACTAGAACACTAAGAAAAGATGTAAGTGCTGAATTTTTCTAAATTTTTTGTTCCTTTTTTTAGTCTCAGTTATTTCACCCACATGCAAGTGAACAGCAATTATTTTTAGCAACGTGCTTTTTATTAAGTCGCTCCAAATCATTCAGCTTAGTTTTCATAAAAGCAATCCTTTTTAAAATTCATATTCATTTACATAGTACTTAATCAATTTATTTAATTAAAATAAGTGAGATGTGTTACACAAATCACTGGTAGGAAATAAAGTACATGAGCATGGTCAAAGGCATTTAGCATGACATGGGTGTCAGTCACAAGCTTTCCAGAGGGAACTATGAAAACTCAGACAAGTTGAAATTGGTAAAGGAGCTTTGACAGGGTTAATAAACTCCATTTTCCAGATGAGGCTATTGAGGTTTAAGAAGTTAAAGATAATTGCCCATTTTTAAATGAACGACTCAAATATAAAAAGCTCAAACAGAAAATACAGAAAGGGGAAATCCAATACAACTACGTAAAGGTCACAGAACACTTTCATAGGGGGGTGATGTTAAGTCAGAAAGGCAGCAGGAGAAAATGAGGCAAATAAGGGAAAGTACATTCCAGGCAGAGAAAACAAAGGTAGTCAAGTCCGAAAAGAACACAAAAAATGCAGAATTTGTTTAATAAATCTGGCTTTACTAGACCGTAAGTTGTAGAGGGGTATAGGAGTGGGGAGTGGCTGGAGACCCAGATTGAGAAGATTTTGTTTGTTAACTGCTTTAAATTTACTTAAAATCCACTGAGAACCATTGGACAACTTTCCCTGGAGGAGCAACACACTCAGATTTGTATTTTACAAAAATCATTGCCATGGCAGGATAGAGGATGGACTGGAGCCAGGAAAGACCAAAATAAAGGAGATCACCTAAAACACTATTGCAGGGAAATTAAGGGGACAGTGATGAGGACCTAGATGAGTCAGAGCTGGTGACATCCAGTACTCTCTTCCCACTAGATCTCCTCTGTTTAGCCCCCAACAATAGGGGAACAATGTCACTGCAGGTAGTATTCCTGTCAGCTCCCACTACTGGCTTAAAATTAGATAAAAATATATCTGGTAATAATCTATAGCTGCCCATCTTTCCACACATTATAGGGCTTATGATTGAGGTTACATCCATAAAAGAAGTGTGATAAGGGATGGTCAAGTACCCGTCTATATGTAGGTTAAGTATGTTTTAGTGGGCTAGCCTAGAGACCTATCAAAACATTATATAAAGTAGAATTAGAGAGTAATCTCTAAAAATTGAAAAGCAAATCAAATGAGAGCAATTATATTATTTTAGTGGCATAACCTCAAAGAAACCATTCCAGATTACTTGAAATCTCAGTAAGTAAGACTGTGAACCCATAGTGAGATGTACTTTACACAATCCTTGCTGCTCCCCCAAAGGCCAATGTGGGAGGACTGCTTGAGCTCAGGAGTTCGAGACCAGTCTAAGCAAGAGGAAGACCTTATTTTTACTAAAAATAGAAAAATTAAGGCCAGGCACAGTGGCTCAAGCCTATAATCTGAGGAGGCTGAGGCGGGTGGACAGCTTGAGCTCACTGGTT